TTCCATTGAGTTAGTAGCTTCTAATAATATTGAGGAAGGCTTTAAAGTTTCAATTGATAAAATCATGAATATCAATGTCTTTCCAACAAGTTTTATCTTGTGATTTACCTCCTAATTTATTTTGCATTGTAAATAGTAGTTTGCATAAATCGTTTTGTTCTTTCTTTTCTTCCCCTTCAAACACTACCTCTTGTGAATGTGATAGTGATGTACTATACTCCAACAACTGTCAGTTGGATTCTTCAGCTTCTACTTCGCATGAGCTTGGGTATTTTAAAAATTTAAATAAAAATTTGACTCCTACTGATGGGAGTACTATTGATTTCCTTGGTTGTGATAGTTTCTTGGAGAGATTAAATTCTAAGCTGTCTTTATTTCATTTTTATCTTCTTCATGTTTCTATTTTTGGATGTGGTACTGCTGTTGGTTCTACTTGCTTGCAGGACTCCGCACCACCACTACTAAGGAAAATCAATAAAGGAGAAGTGAGCACATGAAAGAAATGCATGTTTCTCATCCGGGATAAGAACTTCTCCTATAAGAGTTTGAAGAGATTTCATTCTCAAGGTTGTCCCTTTCCTTCCTTAACTCTTATCTTTTGAATTATTTGCTTGTTTTGTGAGATAAGTGTGGGGGAGGGACATAGCCAGTAGTAAAAGTAGTTCATTTTCTTTTCTTTTCTGTTGTTTAAGGTTGTACTTGAGTTTTGCATTGGGGACAATGCAAGATTTAAGTGTGGGGGAGAAATTAATATTCAGTAATTGTGTTGTGTTTTTCTGTGTTTGAGGAAAAATCTAGTTTTCTAAAAAATTTCAAAATTTTGATTGAGTTTTGAACTTAATTTGAAGATTTTGAGTCAAAATTTTTGAAAATTTTTGCTTCAATTAACTGACACTTGAATTTGTGTACTCTTGGACTTTGGTAAATGTTTTTGAACTCATATTCATACTCATGAGAATTGCTATTTGTTCAAAGTTGATTGTTTTAGTTTCATTGGTCACAATTCTTTAAGCTTGCTTTATATTGATTGAGTTAATGTATTGTGATTAATTTGGAGTACAATTAATCTTTGTGCATGAGCATTTGAGATTTAGCCTTGTTGGAAAGATTCTTTAAGCCTAATTTTCATTCATAGTGAGTTGCATCCACTTACATTTTCCACTTTCTAGAACTTGTTCCAATTCTTAATCAAGACTTAGTTGCATTAATGTGATGAGCATGATAGAGGCATTCTTTTCTAAACCCCTACATCCTAAACACAAATCCACATGATTTTCTCCATTGCTAACCAGTTGAGCCTTCATCTTTTCTTAAGTGCCAAGACATGCATTATACATTCAAGTTTCTAATATTTTTACTATTCCATTCATGATGTGTTAAACTTTGTCTTCTTGGGTTTGGAATTGCCAAAAAAAAAAATATGAGAAAAGAAATAGAAAAAGGCAAAGAAATAGAAGAAAATGTTGAGAAAAGCCAAAGAAAGAAAGATCAAAATAAAATGGTACCAATAGAATAAAATCTTGAAATAAGGCAATTCATTGGTGGTTTGAAGAACAAAGTTGTGCTTTTAGAGAAATAGAGTAAATAGTAGTTGGAAACCTTTTCTGAAATGCTTGGTGCTTAATCATTTCATATCTTTTCACCTCATCTTATTTCATTTAACCCTTCCCATTATCATAACCTTAAAGTCCTCTTGATCATTGCATTCATGCATTAGAAGTGGAGAGGTAGGATTTTAACAAGCTTATGGCAAAGTGGTTGATTAAGTGGATTTGAGAGAGAATTACCCTAACTCAGTGAATAGAGTGAAACATGTTATATCTTGAGTGTTTTCTCTTTTGCTCATTTCTATTGCATTGATTGTACTCTACCTTAATCCCTTCTCATTAATTTAGATTACTATAACTGCTTGTTTAAAGAGTTGGCTTAATGACATTATCACTTTCTTACTTTGAAGTCATAGGGATTCCCATTTGTATCGATACTATTCTCTTACTTTAGTTTTGTATTGCCTTTGTCCAGGAGTACAAAGGTTTAAGTGTGGGGGATTTGATTGAACCCAATTGTTCTATGTTATTTCATATCATTTTAAGGGTATTTATCATAGATTTTGGCTCCTTTTGATGATAATTGTGCTTAATTTAGATTAAGAGTCCTTACTTTGAGTTAGTGTCTTTTTTAGGGTAAAATTATCATAATTGGTTATTAATTGTATTCAATTGATTTCTAGGACAATTGATGCTTCAAATTGTTGCTTTTTACTGTAGGACACTTGAGAATTAGAGCCAAGATTGAAGACCAGAGCATTACACAACATGAGAGTTTCTAAGAACATGCTATGCTGTGGTAAAAAGTCTGAAAATGTGCATCAGTGACTATTCTGGAATAGTTCACCGGGGCAAACTTTTAAGTTCGCCACGGCAAACTCTCTCGTATCAGTAACGTCAGATTCGGATCCAGAACGTAAAAATGGACCCTTTATTCTTGTGATCCGACCCAGATGGACCCCTAAAACCCTTAGAAACCCTATTTTCGACCAAGAACTCCATTCTATCATCAAGAACACCTCTATTCTCTCATCTTCTTGCCTCTCCACCTCCATTTTTTTTCCTAATCCATTTCCTTCACCTTTTCTTCATTCCATCTCATTTCCTTCCACTCCCAGCTGCCATGGCTGACAAATTCATTTCAGTTGGAGCTTTTCTTGAAGCTATGGAGGGCTAGGGTTTATCAAATCTTGAAGAATGGTGGTGTGGCATGAGTTTCCAGACTTCAAAGGGGAGTTTAGTTTCAGTTTTCAATTTTTAGTTATAATTTATGGCTTTCTAAGTCTAAGAGTTATAAATTGTTAGTTAAGAACTTGGGATTGTTACTGTAATCATTGGTTAATGATTTACATTTGTAGTTTGGATTGGTTAATGTTAAATTCTGTGCTTCAATATATGTAGTAACATATATGTTTCCTTATAACTCTCTTGATTCACTTTTATCTTACATGGTCATGTTTTGATATTGAGTTGATTTTGGGTTGCAATGAACCAATTGCATGATCATTCTCAAATTACACATTAGGAGAGCTTAACAATGTTTTCATTAATAAAGTTCATTGATTTAAACATTGGACTCAATGAGTTATTGAGGTTGTTATTAAGAAAACCTAATGGATTTGTGAAACTCCCAATATCTTGAGTGAACTATGATTGCCATCAAAACCATTCTCAAGAGATTTCCTATCATTCATTTCCATTCCATCATCATTATCCAAAAATACCAAAAATATAGTAGTTTAGGTTTGTTTTCATTGCATTTAGTTTAGTCACCATTCATTTAAATCTTAAAAACCAAACCCCCTTTCATTACATTGCATGGCATTTAGTTTAGCTTAGGTAATTAATAAAGGCTCCCAAAAGTGAAACGACCCGAGTTTGCATAATACTGCATAACTTGGATTTATTTTTTATTGAGAACCCTAAGGCGAATGACAAAGGTCCTCATCAGAAGGTATCCCTGAGATAGCTGGAAGTTTTCAATAAGGCAGCGAAAGTCTGCCGTATCACTGAGAATAGCCATAATCATACTGACCTGGTTAGAGCAACCCTGCGAGCCAAGAACCTAGGGGCAAGAACAGGTCATGAAGGTACTTCTTTCGGCGGTAGCCAGAAGAAAAAGAGATTTAACTGGAACAGGAAGTCAAGATGGGGAGCCTGACAAGGAGGCGCAGAAAATGTCCACTAGGGAGCGGAGAATGTTCACCAAGGAAGGGAATACGAGCGTTGTGGCAGCAATCATGGAGACAGGTCGTACATGATGGGTCAGAGCATGTGCTTCAGGTACGAACGACCTAGACACTTTGTTAGGGAGTGCCCACAAGGTGTTGACAGCACGGGAAGACCTCAGGCACAGGGCAGGGTGTTCACCCTCAGTCGGGAAGAGGCTCGTAAGTCGCCTGAGATGATCCAAGGTACGGTTACTGTGAATGGCTACCTTGTGGATGCTTTGTTTGACTCAGGTACCAGCCACTCATTTATATCATATGATTACACTAGGTGCTTAGGTCTTGTTGTCGACACATTGCTATATGACTTGTGTCTTTCTACTCCCACTGGAACAAAAATTTTAACTTCTACTGTTTGTTTAAACTGTATTGTCTAGTATGCCTACTATTGCACTGCGTTAGACTTGATATGCATGCCTTTCTATGATATTGATATTGTCCTTGGTTTGAACTGATTATCATCCCAAAATGTTTCCTTGAATGTAAGAACAAAACACTGATCCTTCCTACCCAGGAGTTAACCCCCACGACAAAAGTAAAGTTGAACATGATTTTAGCGGCTCAAGCGGATAAATGTTTGAAGCAGGGTTACTAGGGTTATATGGTATTATTCTCAGTGAAAGTAGAGATGGAAGAAGGGATTTCAAATATCTCGGTAGTTTGGGAATTCCCTGAGGTATTTCTGACAGAGATTAAAGGATTACCCCCTGAAAGGGAAATTGAATTTGCTATTGATTTAATGCCTGGAACGAACCCAATTTCAAAAGCTCCATATCGAATGGCTTCGAATGAGATAGCAGAACTGAAGAAGCAACTAAAGGAGTTATTGGAGAAAGGGTTCATACGCCCTAGTGTATCTCCGTGGGGTGCACCGGTATTGTTCGTGAAAAAGAAGGATGGTAGCTTAAGTTTATGTATAGACTACCATGAGCTAAATAAAGTAACAATTAAGAATAAGTATCCATTACCACAAATTGATGATTTGCTAGATCAGTTGGCAGGAGCCATTGTATTCTCAAAGATTGACTTGAGATCGGGATACCATCAGTTGAGGATTAAGGTAGAAGATATCCCAAAGACTGCCTTCCGAATGAGATATGGGCATTATGAATTCCTAGTGATGCCATTTGGTTTGACGAATGCACCTGCTATATTCATAGACTACATGAATAGGATCTTCTAGTCATATTTCAATTAGTTTGTAGTGGTATTCATCGATGACATCATGGTGTATTCTAAATCACAAGAGGAACATGAACGGCATCTACAAATTGTACTAGGCATGTTGTGGGAAAAGCAATTGTATGCTAAGTTAAGCAAATGTGAATTCTGGCTAAGTGAGGTAAAATTCTTGGGCCACGTAATTACCCGAGATGGAGTAGCAATAGACCCAAGCAAGGTAGAGGCCATATTGAATTGGGAACGGCCCAAGACGATAACTGAGGTGAGAAGTTTTCTGGGACTGGCCGGGTACTATAGGAGGTTTATACGCAATTTTTCACGACTTGCCCTACTACTAACTAGGCTCATTCAAAAGAATCAACTGTTCAATTGGGATGCTAAGTGTGAGGCTAGCTTCCAGGAGTTAAAGCAAAAGTTGACCTCGACTCCTGTACTAATAATTCCCGATCCTATGTTACCATATGTGGTGTATACAGATGCGAGTAAGCAGGGATTAGGATGTGTGCTGATGCAACAAGGTTGAGCGGTTGCTTATGCCTCACAACAGTTAAAGACTCATGAAGAGAACTATCCTACCTATGATCTTGAGCTGGCAGTGATTGTCTATGCCTTAAAGATCTGGAGGCATTATTTATATGGGCCAACCATCGAATTGTACTGTGACCATAAGAGCCTCAAGTACCTGCAAGACCAGAAAGAACTCAACATGAGACAGAGGAGATGGATGGAATTGCTCAAAGATTATGATTATCAAATTAAATACCATCCAAGGAAAGCCAATGTAGTAGCAGATGCATTAAGCCAGAAAATGGTGCAAGTGACATCATTGATGATAAAGGAACAAGACCTAATCGAGAGTATCCGATATGGGATCCCACTGGCCAGATACGACTGATGGCAAGCTAGATCGGTATTGCAAAAGCAGAAGCACAAATCATTGAACAGATCAAGAAGGCCCAACAAAGAGACCAACTGGTCGACATCTTGAAAGCCAAAGTACTGAGAAATGAGACGAGGGACTTTGAGATAACTCAAGAAGGGATCCTAAAATACAAAGAAAGGACTTACATTCCCCTGAATTCAGAAGTTAAAAAGCAAATCTTGGAGAAGGCACACAAGAGTCAGTATACCATACATCCAAGCATGACCAAGATGTATCGAGATCTTAAAGCATCGTTCTAGTGGCCTAGTACGAAGAAAGATGTGACGGACTATGTGTCAAAGTGCCTCACTTGTCTAAAAGTAAAGACAGAGCACCAAAAGCAGTCAAGATCCCTGCAACCATTTAGTATTCCAGAATGGAAATGGGAAAGCATTTCCATGGATTTTGTAATAGGACTACCTTGTATATCATCAGGTTACGACGCAATATGGGTGATTGTAGATCACCTAACGAAGTCAGCTCATTTCTTAGCCATCAAGAAGGAATACCATCTGAAAAAGTTGGCACGGATATAGATCTAGGAAATTGTGAGGTTGCACGAAGTACCTGAGACGATTGTCTCTGATAGGGACCCGAGATTTCTCTCTAGATTTTGGAGAGCATTACAGAAAGCCGGGGACACTAAGCTAAGTTTCAGTACTACTTACCATCCTCAAACTGATGGACAAACAGAACATATGATACAAACACTAGAGGATATGTTAAGAGCTAGTGTCCTAGATTTCAAAGGAAACTAGGATGAGTACTTGCCACTGGCGAAGTTCGCCTATAATAACAGTTACCATTCCAATATCCAAATGGCTCCTTATGAAGCTTTGTAGGGGAGGAAATGTAGATCCCTGTTATGTTGGATTGAATTGGGAGAAAAGAAGGTATTTGGTCCCGACTTGGTAGAGCAAACCTCACAGCAGATAAAGATGATCCGATAGAGGTTGCTTACGGTGCAAAGTAGACAGAAGAGTTATGCTGATGTACAGAGAAGGCCTCTAGAGTTCAAAGTTGGAGATCATGTTTTTCTGAAAGTTTCTCCAACTACGGGTGTAGGAAGATCGATCAAGGCCCGTAAATTGACACTGAAGTTTATCGGACCCTTCCAAATCTTATTAAGAGTTGGCCCGGTAGCCTACAGATTGGCCCTACCCCCTAATTTGAGCCAGATTCATGACGTCTTCCATGTTTCTCAGTTGAAGAAATATCAATCGGATCCCTTACATATTTTGAAATATGAAGACATAAAGCTGTAAGATAACCTTACCTTTGAGATGAAACCAGTGAAAGTGATAGATTGAAAGATTAAGCAGCTACGGAATGAGACTATTCTTATGGTTAAAGTCATCTGGAGGGATCTAACTCGAGAAGAAGCTACATGGAAAAAGGAGGACGACATGAAGGTCAGATACCCAGAATTGTTTAATTAAGGTATGCTTTTAAATTTCGAGGACGAAATTTATTTAAAAGGGGGAGGAATTGTCACATCCCAAAAATCTTCACCTGGCTATAAGGGATCAAAAATTGGGATAAGGGTCAATGTAGGAACTAGACAAGGAGATGAAACAACTTTTAATGTGAAACCCTGATAAGGTCCAGGCTGGCATTTTCGTAATGATCGGTATAGGAAAGGCAAAACGGGAAAATTTGAGAAAAATTCTAGAAAATCCCTGAAAAATGGAAAAACTATAAATTGGAAGTTTTGAAAACTTGATTGAGGCCCGAAAGGTGAATTTACGGTGAAAGCAAATTATTACAGAATTTCCCCTAAACGGAGGTTTTTCAGGAAAATATTGAAAAATCATAGGAAAATAATTATTTTAAGTAGTTGGAGGCCTCAATAAATTTGGAAGAAAGATGGATAATTCATATAAATATTTATTTAAATTTATAAAATTAGTTTTAGGCCTTGGGAGCTCAGGAATTATTTTTAGGGAATTTATTTTCCCGCAGTGACACCGATAAAGGCCTAATCGGAGAAAATTCAAAATAAATACCTAGAGGTGGCAAAAAATTCTTAAAATTTCCAGATCATGCTCTCATATTAAAAGATGAATTATCATGGAGAGAAATGAATTTTTGAGGTCTGAAAAAATTATAGTACGTTACTAGTGAATAGTAACCGATAAAGTTTCAAATTGGTTTGAGATAGTGATTTTCATAGATTAAACTGTATGAATTGGCTTGAGATAAGTCTAGTTTTATATTTTCTCCTCTAGAGAATTGAAAGAGCTTCGAGTAGAATTTTGGATCATCTCAATATGATTTTTATAGAATTAGTTATGATTTTTGAAGTTGGACCTATAATCTGAAATTTAAACAGTGAATAGTAACCCGAGAACTAATTGTAAATTTTCAATCCATGAGCTTGTTTCATGAATCACTTGAACCGTAATGCTTCCAAGCACATACTCTGAGGGGCAAAAGGAAGGATGTTTCACAGAGTAAGCAAATAGCACAACTGATTAGGTTGGTAATGCCTTAATAAAGGGTTCATGACCTTCTAATTAGCTACTAAAACCCATGCTGATATTTTCAGAATTTATCAAAGTTTTATCTTCAATGGATTACTTTATAAGGTTAAAAAACATTTTTATTGTTTTTTTTGGGTAATTTTGTTGGTACTTTCAGGTTACTCTTGTTTGTCCCTTTTTATCTTTAAAGAAATTATTTTTACTAATTTCATGAAAAAAAATATCTATGATCAGATTTCATGTGCATTGTAAAATTATGACAAAATTATTCATAATTCACACCCCATGCAGCCCACAAGAGAGCTTTCTAGTTATTTTCTATTTTGTGGTTACTTATAAAAAAATATCTCTCTTATTATTTTTATTATTATTGTTTTTTGTCCATATAATTATAAGTTGAGGCTTTCACGAAAAAGTAATAATAAAACGTATATATTTACTAATTTTTATCAAAAAATAATTAATATAAATAAAAATGTATCTTTTCATATATTTTTTTCTAAATGTTTTTAGACTCTTTATGCATCGTTTAAATTTCATTATTTTTTATATTTGTCTTTAGATCTTTATTATTATCATCATCTAAAATAACAAGTATATATTTAAAATATATATTATTTTAATCATGACCAATCTAACCTCAGGTTGATCTAAGTTGAATCATTAACCCTTAAACCCCTTCGTCAACTGGTTCAATAACTCGTCCAATTTTTTTTTTTTTTGTATCTCTTGATTCTAATTATAGGGATCCACTGTAACTTCTTTAAGCCCGGAGTAGAGTCTGTGAAAATCAACATAAAGAATGAATGACATAAGCCCAATACAGCAAACTTCACAATACATATGGCCATTAACGTAAAAATGTATTAGTCATTATCATTAGCAAATTATCTCCTACTCCCTCCATTCCTTATTATAAGAGACATTTGATACTTATGGCATGTTCCTATATATAAGAGACACTTACAAGTTGTCTCTACTTTTTTGTGTTGATTTACTATTTTACCCATATTTATTATCTTCAACTCACACTCTCTCTCCTTCCCACTTCTCTTTCTTTTAATAATTTAATTATTCTTTCTCATGCTCTCTCTTCTTATTAATGAGGGCATTTTTGAAAAAAAATTATACTTTTTACACATTAATTGTTCTTAACTAATTTTAACTGTTTTTTTGATCAACGTACTTCGGTTATTTGTCTCTTATAATAAGGAACGGAGGGAGTAATTTTCACAGTGAAGCTCCAATTTCTTATCCTATGATGACAACCTTACCGTACATCATATTTATAGGGTCGGGCCCGGATATTGTCACTTTGGGATTTTTTTTTTTTTCCCGGATTCTTAATTTCAAGCAATCTAGATCTCTTATGTATGCACACAATCATAGTTATCTCATTGCATCAGAAGTTTCCTAAACGGATCAATTTCATCCAATGAACTAGATATATGCAATAACATAATAAAAATATTTTGGTTTTATTTCGTTTAATCATACATTTTTTTCATATATAAAATGGTTTTGCTTTGTCTTTGAACCTCAAACATGTAATTTATAGGAACCAAAAAAGAACACCGAGAAATACAACAACCGCTATACATAACTATATCTTTTGTCCCGAGCGTCACAATATCTTTTAAAAGGTTTCAAACACAAGAATAATGTATCAACAAAAAGGGGGGAATGTATAAATTATATGATCAAAACTGTATGATTATGGTAACGTTTGACATAATTACAGTTTCACAGTTCACAACAAAAAGTAAAAAAGTAAAAACAAAATTAAAATCCAAATCAATTATTGAATATTAAGATTGATCTTCACTGTTGTATTTTTGTTTTGCCCTGTGTAAAATTTGATGATTATTGTTCCGCTCCCACACCAGTGGTTGAACCAATCCCCACCTGCAACCATGGGGAAGAACTCCCTCCTATGTTCATGTCCCTTAGCTCACTTAGTTTCGCTAACTTCAGCTTACTGTCAGCTTCATCTTCAACATTTTCGATCGAAACAGCACTGTTATTGTTATTATTTTTGTCTTCTTCGTTGTCGTTTTCAGTTTCATGGTGATGTAATTCCCGGTTGCTGGGGCTGTGACATTGACTGTTAGTATTATTATTGTTATTGTCATCAGTATTTTTATCCTTCTCCTTTGTCGTTCCTCCTAACCATGGCTGTAAGAAAATTTCCATCCCCAAGTCCCGCCGTGCCAGATCGTCGGCCGGAGGAGCCGGAAGGTTCAGGTCAAGCTTTAGATCGAGTGGCTCCGAGTTATCAAACTTGGGAATTTGATTCATTCGCTCCATATGGTCTTGAAACTGTTGAAATCTAGCCAATGTGGACGAGTCTGGTGCGTTTGGTGTGATCCAGTGACACCTTTTGTGTCCTCCTAGGGCTTGTCCTGACGAGAAAGTCCGGTGACATATAGAGCATTCATGAACTTTGGATTTTCTTTTGGACGAAGACGCCATTAGGTTGGAAGGATGATCATGTTGAGCCATTGAGTTTGATTTTGTGGGAAGAAACTCTTCATGAGTTATGATATCGTCGTCTTTATCTTCGAATTGATCGAGTCTTGAAGCGAAACAGCCTTTAACTTTTTTGTGGCTGGCCCGATGGCCACCTAACGCTTGATGAGAATTGAAGATTTTCTTGCATGCTTTGCATTCGAACAAGCCTTTTGGAACCACACTTTTGGCTTTGTGATCCACGGCAGGAACACAATAAGATAGTGGGGTGATGAAGTTTAATGGGTTTCTTCTCTCCTCATCTCTGCTTGCCGACGCACTAGATTCCTCCGGCTCGGCGGTGGCCGCCGTGACGGCGGGAGGATCAACAGGGGCGTTGGATAACATCATGAGACAGGCCGCCAGGTCTTCATCTTCACTTGAAGGACAATGAGAATTCAACGTACCAACTTTGGCTCTGAATGATCTCTTCCGTTTAGACCATCCGCAACCTCTCTCGCCATCAGCATCATCATCACCGTCATCGGACATCCTGGAAGAAACCTGCGACTCTAAGTGGTCGGAAGTACACTTTCCAATACCGCAATTCTCACACGCCCTACAACTCTTTAATCTGTTAGGGTTTGTTCTCAGAGCATACATACGCTTCGTGCTCGGCGGCACATTGCCGCCACCGCCACCGCCACCGCTGTGCTTTTCTTCCCAGTCACTCGCCGCATCCTCATCGTCGTCGAGGTTCCAGCTCTCGTCTCCGATGCCATGCGCTCTCATGTGTCCACCGAGCGCTCTCCCACACCCAAAACCTTTCTTGCAGATCTTACAGAAATGCTTCAAGTTTGATGATTGATGCTGATCTACGGTCAAAGCCATATACAAACAGAGAATTGAAGAGAGAGGGGGGGAAAAGGAATTAAACTAAAGAAACGAAAAGAAAAGAAAAGAAAGTAAAATTAAAGGGAGCAGGAGGAAGGAAAGAGAGAGGAAGGTGGGTTAATTAAGAAGGGAAAAATATATAGAAGAAGAAGGAAAGGTGGGGTTATTTGGTTCATATTGTAGTGAAAATTGTTGGTTCTTAAGAGTCCCGGTTTTTAGTTAAAGAAGAATGGTGGAAGATCAATATGTGGACGAGAAAGAGAGAGAAAGAGAGGGATTGATAAGAATGTGAGAGTTATTTGACTGTAAAAGAGTGTGGTGACTTGTGACAAGTGGAAGGACGATGGGCAGGTGACAGACTTTTTCTGCCACGCACTGTTAGTCAAAGCTTTTAAACATGGTTTTATGTTTTACCGTCGCTGTTTGCCTTTTGATGATTAGTCCTGAAAGAGCAAATTACTTCTAAGTGCCCGGGATGAACAAAAATTAAGTTGGAATTTATTGCTGCCCATGTAAAAATGGAAATCTTATTTATTCCCATACGTGAAAATCAAAAGATGTAGTATTGTAGGTTTCTAATCATTTTTTTCTCACACTGATTGAAGAACATAAATTGTATTTTGCTTTTTGTTGGGAAAAAAAATTGAATTTTGCATTTATAAAAGCATCATTCCATATGTCCATTTTTTTTTTCTAATTATAGTTTTCAAACTATTCCTTTCAATTCTTTCTATGAAAACCTTGTTAACTATTTTCATTAAATCATAACTTTCTAAAATTATATATAAGGACATAAAAGATATTATTTAAGATAAGGGTGAAAAAGACAATGAAAATTTTTGAAATGAGTTATGAATGTTTCATTAAATTTTCTAAAAGTCTTCTATTGGGGACAAATGGATATATTTTATAAATAAAACCAAAACAGACCAGTTAAACAAGTCAAACAAAGTAGGAATTAGAGAAAACGGGGAATTTATATCAAAGGACCTAAATTTGATTAAAAAAATAGTTACATGAATAAATCCCAAAACTTGTAATAAGGTTGAGAATTGTAAATTTTTTGAAAAAGAAAACTCGATCCTAACAAAAGTTAGTTAAAATTATAAGCTATTCCCCCCCCCCCAAGCAGTAACTTCCATTGAACATGAAAATAAATCCTTAAAAATTTGAACATTTGTTTTGTCTAAAAAAATTATTATCTTAAGACTCATTACATAATTTTTGTTAAAATTGGGTCGTCAGATGCAATTTCTTAATATAGAGAAAACATTTTAATTTTTGGCTGTGTGACAGAGCGAGTGGTTCTAACTGACATATCTATTATCCATATCGCTTCAATTCCAAGCCAAGTAAACCCTCTTCTGCTTCTTCTTGTCTGTCGGTTGGTTTAACCTTAAATATTATATTTATTTAAACACATAACAATATTGTATAATATATCTTGAGTCTTCAAAATCCAGTCATATTTTGACTAGTAAATAGTATTAGATACTGCGCTTGACAATATATAATACAAAATATATATCCAAGAACTAGTTATCATAACAAAACAAGGATTAATTCCAACTGAATTAATATAAAACGATATCTTTCATTCTTCAACAATCTTTATAGCTATACAAACAAACGGTTAGAGACAAAAATAAAAGGTTACAGTTAATTTTGGAATTTAATATTTTTATTAGGTTTGCTTTGTAGTTTCAAAATTTAGTTATACTTTTATAACTTTCCAGAGAGTGAAATTTAGTTTTTTTTTTTTAATTCTCTGAATGTACATATATTTTGTTTTTAAGTTAGAATTAATAATCTTCAAGTACGGATCAAGAATAAGTCAAAAGAATTAGTTACATATTCAAATAATAGATAACACCTTAATTGTAGCATATGTTTTAAGAAAATAGAGTCAAAGAACAAGCTATATTTATCTTCAAATTGACTATGGAGAAATATACAATTATCCCCAAAGAATAGGATCCGCATGAGAATTGAATTAGAAAATGAGGTTCTTATAATTCCTGGTCTATGCATTTTCCATTTCAACAATTAGATGCTACTTTTGTTTAACTAAAAATAAAATTCAGATGCTAGTTTTGGCTAAATTTTCTTTATGACACATTCATTTAACTAAATTTTTAGTTTTTCAAAAAGCTTATTCTCTTTATTTTCTGCCAAGCTAGGCAAGTGAAGGAAATCAGAAATGAACAAAAATAGAAATTCTTTTTATGAATTTAATCCTTTATAATTTGATTAAGGTAGTTAAGAAAAGAAAGAAATATTATCCAAGTTCATATTTTAGTTGGATCCAATTTTTCAGGGAGTCCGTACATCCTATCTTTGCTATGCCTGCATTATAATAGGACGGTTTTATTTTTTTAAAAAAATAAAAATCTAAAATAACAAAGTTAAGTCCTAAATTATCTAATTTTTTCGGAACCACACACACACACACACACAAGGATCCAGAGCTTTGCTCAATTCTCGTTTACTTTCGTTTGTTCTTAAAAAAGAAAAAGACTAGAAGACCTTATGAATCTTGAAATTTCAACTCCTTCTACTTACTGTAATCAAATTATGAATATTCAAATATTAAGGAAATACAGTTATTTTTTGAAAATTTTAGTACCTTTCACTGGCCAAAGGAAAAAAAACAGAGTTACACCATTGTCTCCGAATGTACCCAATCCCCCTTTTTTTTGGGGGGGGGGGGACATATTTACTCTAGAGCAAGCAAAGCAAATTATTAATAACATTATTTTTCAATCGAACAAAAATTATATATATAACTTAATAATTATTTCTATTTCACACACATTATTACTTTTTATATACAATATTCAATGTTCCTAAGAGCTAGAAATAGGTGACATGAGATTCACAATGGTAAAATGGAATATGTAACACTATTTTGGAAAATTCTTAATTATTGTTGTAACTGTATTCACTAATTAATATATATATATATATATATATAAAACTATATATTGTTACTTTCACCCTTTTTTAAAGGACAAATGGCAATATATATGTATATATTACCGATTAATAATAAATAGTTCCTTCTATTTTCATTATTATTTATGCGTTTATATCTTCCTTAAAGTTCCATGACACATCGATATGTATTGATAAAAGTATAAGAAATTACACCATTCATTAGTGTAAATTATGTTAAACTTCATAAAATATGAGGACCTCAGAGTTTTGTTTATTAAGTACAATACTCATATACATTAATTTCGTATACTTGATTATCACTATCAATATAAAATATATAATTTATATTAATTTGCATCATTTAATAACCGTAAATTGGGTGATGCGTTGTTCTTTTGATAAGGTGATTCATTCTTTTTAGTTGTATATATAATATATCAATTAAACCTACCTAATTATTATTACTTTACAATAAAGGCATAATGCATGACAACAGAAGTGCTATATATTATTCATTGCATGTCTGAATGTGGCCAGATATTTTGGTGATCCAATTATAAAACCAGAAGAATTACATTGAAAGAGTCGAATTAAAATTGGCCCAATAATAAGAAGGCAACATAAAAGTTAGATTATTAATTTATAAAAATTAAATAAATTGATTAAATTAATAATTTAATTCATATTACTTTTTTGTCGGTTTCCTAAAACATCCTTCCCCTTGTTTGGCTGAGACAATTTTTAAGAGAGGGAGGAGAGCAGGCTGAAATATTTTTTAAAGAGGAGATGAGCTCCTCTCTCTTTCTTTTCCCCCCAAATCCTACCTCCCTTCTAGAAATATGGTTTTTTTTGAAAGAGAGATGAGAGATAAAATATTTTATTTCATAAGTAATTTTAATAAAATAACATAATTCTCATTTTATCCTCTCTTTCTCTCACTATTCTCTACCAATCTTGTAATTTTAATGACTCTAATCAATTTAACTTCGTTCTCTTTCTATATCATACAATTCAACTAGAACAATCAAACTACTCAAAATTTTGCTGAAAAATATGAAATGTGACAAAAACCATCGGGTTGAAAAAAGCATGAAGAATGATAATATTTTTCAAAAAGTCAATATAGAGTAATATTAACTCAAGCTAGATAAAAAAATTATTAAACATCTTTTAGCTAATTAAAAAAAAGGAAATAAAGGACAAAAAAGGTTAAAAGAATGCAATTTTTCTTTTGAACCTAATAGAACAAGCGAACAATATTATGAAAAGAAATGGGATTTTTGTTTTGTTTTTCTTGATAGGTTGTGCTTGCAGCAAAAGACAATCTAGTTTTTTCCCCCTTTAATTTGATGAATTGCTTTATATATGCATATGTACGTATTGATAAAATAGAAAATAGACAACATTTATTAAAATTTTATAAGTTCCTGATAGTATCTCGAATATGATTGTTTTTAATAATAATAGCAAAAAAATCTCTTAATTAATTTTTATATTTAAGATAACAAAGCAATCTTCTAAAAGGACGAAGTTTTGGAGCAGTGTGAGTCACATGAGGTCTTAGCACTAGAGTCGTCCTGAGGGAGTGATAAACTCTTAATTAAGCAAAGACATTATATTATGTTGATGGATCATTGATCAGTAGGTTAGTCTCTAATCAATCAATCAATCAATGTTTATTCTCTTTTCTTGCTTTGATTTAAAGCATTTATTACCCTGATTAAGTAAACATCACTGCTCTTCTTCAGCACAAAAAAGTGTGCTTGTTGTGTGCTCGTGTGTGTGGATGGACACTTTCTTCCTAACCTGCCTTCACAAGGCTCAAGACAGTAGTGAACTACAAACTATTCAACTCATTTGAATTCAACCCGATTCATGAAATCGATTATGACACTAAACTAATATATATATATAAATATATATATATATATATATATATATATATAGCGAGAGAGAGAGAGAGAGAGATGAATGAACATGAATGAGTGTTCGATAGATGAGCTGTTAACTCAGTGGCAAAATCAAGTGAAAGACTGAAAGGAAAAAAGACTCCTTGAATGTTATATATAAATTTAGAAACAGTCAAATTATGTAACTTAGAAAATTAATTGAAATTAATTAAAAACAATAAATATATAAATATATATTTTTTAAAATGGCTTTATTTATGGAGAGAGACATGGTCAGTAGGATAATTAATATAATAATATAAGATTTCATTAACAGAGGCAGAAATGAAATTAAAAAAGCTGATTAAATTTTCAGACACCACAAAAAAACAGGAGATTAGCGATGGAAATTAGCGACGGAATTTCCGTCACTAAACAGTTTAGTGACGGAAATTCCGTCGCTAATCCGTCAAAAAAAAAAAAGTTGCGACGGAATACATTCTATCACTAAAAAGGCCGTCACTAATTGATTTGTGACAGAAATAAAGAATCCGTCGCTAATTTGGCGACGGACTTGTGACAGAAATCCATCACGAATTTTGTGACGGATTTGTGAGGGAGTTGCCTATCACTAAATTGTGACGGAATTTCCGTCACAAAATTGTTACAGACTTGTGATGGCCTTTCCGTCACAAATTTATGACAGAATTGTGACGGAATTTCCATCAAAAAAGTGCACACATTTGTGATGGAAATTCAGTCACAAATTTATGACGGAATTGTGAGTTTTTTTGACGAAATATTCGGTCACATGTTAACGACGAATTTGTGATGGAACTGTCCGTCACAAATTAGTGACGGAATTCCCTAGAAAATCCGTCACTAATGTTCCATGTTTTTTTTTCTGATTATATATATTTAGAGACGGAAGTTCCGTCACAAATCCGTGGAAAATTTTTTATTTTTAAGTTTTTTTTAATTTTTTGTTTCAAGCTGCATTTCGTGTAAGAAACAAATTAAACTTATAATTATAATGTAGCTAATATTCAAACCAAATTAAAATAGCAATTGTCATAACAAGCAAAAAACCTAAAAATGTCAAGTCCCAAATTAAAAAGCAATATTTATAACAAGTCTAATATTAAACAAACTACTAATTATCATTATGTGGACTTGCTTCACTTTGAGTGCTGGAGTTGATAGTCGACCCAGTTGAGAATTTTCACTCAAGTGCTTCCAACCTAGACAAGATGGTGACATTCAATTGTCTAAGATCTTCATTTTCTTGTTTAAGCTCTGAGACAATATTCTGAAGATCAGGTTGGCCTTCTGTGTTGATGGAAGGAGGAGACATATGAGAAGAATGTTGTGTGCAGTCATTATGCTGGGCATCACATCCTAAGCCATAGATTCGACCCTTCTTGTTCTTACCACCTGCAGCCTGCAACCAAATCCTCATTTCTTCACCATCTAGCTAATTTGATTCCTCCACACTTGGAGAACCAACACTGAAACTCCTGGATGCCTTGATCCTCATGTAATGTTCCTATGAAAAAAGAAAGTAAAAAATTCAAAATATAAAAGCATTGACAAGCACACAAATAGGCAATTCTCAACGAATCTGAAAAAACAACAATCCAGAGTGAACAAGCCTTAAAATAGCTACTGGTAGAGACCAAAATCTAATGATGCAACCTCAAAGCCTTAAAATACCATAAAATAACTTCCAAATATAAAACTTATCAATACGAGAAGCATGCACAATTAGAAGATCTATATATTTCTATTACTATTACCATTATTATCATACCACCAGCAAGGCATTTTCAAAGGCTAGGAACTAAAGACGGCTAAATTCCCATCCTTCCATTGAGCCAGCAGAAAGAAATTATTATTCCTATTTTAATTCAATTAGGGGGAAAAACTTACCTGAGAAACAAGGGGGTATACAGCTAGACACTTTCCCCAAAAAAAGGACAAAACAGAGAGCTATCGATGCTAAAAAAATGAGGCTAACCAAACCCTCCACCGTATGTGAATGAGTTTACAATTAAAACAAAAAATTTATTTAAAAAAAAAACCAAACCAAACCAAACCAAACAAACAAAACAAAAAAAAGAAGACTACGGGTTCTTAACGTAAGAGAGGCAGTAAAAAGCAACATGTCCCTTATCATATGAGATGACAATGAAATGGCCCTAAGATATGCATTCTTTTTTCTTTCCCTCTTTTTTAGATGAAAAGTTCTACAAGAATTCAACAGCAATTTTTGTCCGCATCTATATGGGATAAACGTGATAACAAACACTTCTCAAGAATTCCATTTCTGAAATAAATACAAAAGTTATTTATATTATTAAAATATACAGGATGTCGTTGTTTTGAGCATACAGCACCTGAAAAGCAGGGCAAAGATAGTTTTTATGTAGTTTAGATCTCTTAAAAAAGGTCCAGAAGTATTATTCTCAACTAGCAAATGACATGAAAGAGGCATAAAAAGAGAAATTCAGAGGTATGCTTAGATTGAGAAGGAAAGTGAAATTTTAATGTTAATATTTTATTTAGATTATAAAGCTAACATTTTTCTTCCATTCTCCCCATTCAAATCTAACTCTAAGAACATTCAAATTTTAATGTTAATATTTTATTTGATTTTATGAAATAATGTCAATTAATGGATCGGAACAAAACAAATTAAAGTCTCATTTTCATCGATGACAATGGAAATCACCATTGAAAGTATGCCTTTCAAAACTTTTGGTATGAACTATGGCATTAATTAATCAGAAGCAAAAGCGTGAAGATTTTGATCGATATAGAATGTAATCATATTTGAATTAGATTATTTAACCCTACTAAATATATAGTTGATGCAAACTAGTAACCACAAGTAAAGAAGTAAAGACCCACACTACAACTAGTCAGGCCTCAGGCCGTCAGCACAGCTCTAAAGAAAAAGATTCTAGAAAAATATATACTTACAAAAACTTCAGCTGACCTAATATCCACAAATTGGTTAGTTTTGACATCAAAGTGCGTCTTTGTGAACAATTCATATTGAGTAGGATTTCTTCCCAACTGCAAAGCCTGTAGTCATTTATAAAAAAAAGAATTATATCATGCATTAACTAGTTATTTATAAAAAATGATCATGTCATGCATTAAATAATTAAAGATAACAGCTAAAAATAAATATAATTCTCACTAGCCTCCTTCTATGTTCAATATTAGGAATGCTGCCCCCTTTGTGTTGAGTGCCTCCTGTGGAAGAGGCCTGATTGACATTAGCTGTGTTACACTTGGACTTATAATTTTCTGATGTCCATATTTCCTCTAAATCATCCATCACATTAGGTGGAATCCAATTAGGCCTCATTTGTTTCAGAATCAGATCCTTTCAAACATTATGCATTGTATGTCTTACGATTTCTGCGCACTTTAAGTTCCAATTTCTCCTAATAGCAACTTCATGTTGTGGCAACCATTTAAATTGTTTCTGTAGAAATAAGAAGAAAAACAAAATCATGTTCTATAATAGAATGAGAGAGAAACTAAAGACATAATAAAAATATAATGAACTTATATACTTCCTATTCCCTAAACCACAAGTCCCTAATTTGAGGGGGTGTCGCCTTCCAAGTACAGCATGGGTGTTCAAATTTTCCTTGAATGATAGGAAGAATATTTCGCACAGGAATAACGGCAGGATTAAACCTAATCATAATTTTTTTAAAAACAATTCACATATTAGAATGGCTTTAAGCAGCTCAATAGAAATATCAGATAAAGTAATGGGAAGTTGATTACTTACGTTTTATTCTCAGGATATACCCACATCCGATTATCTGAGGGATCAATACCCCATGGGTTGGAACTAGCAGGAGAGCCTTGAGTTGGGTTTTGTGAGGCTTCTATTCCAAGAGATGGGATTGAAGGAGATGATGCAGGTGATATCAAGGGTCTCCTAATTGGTTCAGACATGACTGGAGATGATGTATGCATAGATGGTTGAGGAAGAGAAGAATTTTCAGGTTGGTGAGGCAATTGTGCAGATGCTGTAGTTCCACATGGGACTCTACACTGCGCTTCACCACTTGACATCTATATATGCAAATTTGAAGATTGAGTTGAGTTAGTAATAAATAATAAATAAATCATCACAGAATTGAACAAAATTAAAACTAGATACTAGAGGCAATGAAGGTCTAGTGGATGGTTCTGCCACATTAGGAGCGGAGGTCATAGCTACATGAGGAATTGATTTTTCAAGTTGCTGAGGCAATTGCGGAGGTGTGGCAATACTCAATTGGATTTTATGCTTTGCACTTAGATTTGACATCTGCAAATTCAAATTTCAATATTAAGTAAGTAATAGGCAATAAATACTCATACAAAATGAATCAAGATCAAAACTGAAAAATCAATGCAATCAAAGTCAAATTGAACACTAAATAGTAGTAGATTATAATATGTTAACCATAATTCATCCATCTTCATCATTGTTGTTGATGTCATCATCGTCATCATTGTCATCATCATCATCAACTTCTATATAGAAATCTTCTTCACCATCATCTGTGTCTTCCTCGACTTCATCTTCATATTCATCGTCTTCATCTTCCTCAACTTCATCTTCGTATTCATCTCCTTCATAAACCATGTTCTTAGTTGGCATATCCACCTCTTCATAGAAAATTTCAAAATTTATTTGGTTATTCAATTCAGCATCATCAATAATTACTGGCAGTATGACTTCTAATCCATCTGCTTGAAATGCCTCTAAGTTTATTGCACATGTAGGAGCATCAATGATGTTACGAGCCTTCACCTTAATAGCAGCTAACCAATTTGCCTTCTAACGACAACAAGGATAAGAGGTGTAGTATACTTGCATTGCTTGTTGAGCAATAATGAATGGATCATACTTGTTGTACCTTCACAATCCATGAACTTCAACAATCCCATATTGTTCATAAACCCTTGTACCACGATTTGGTGTCAGATCAAACCACTCACAATTGAATAATACTAATTTCTTTACAGGAAGCCCTATATATTCAATCTCTATAATCTCCTGTACAATACCATAAAAGTCATGTTCTGATTGCGCACAGTCAGCGCCTTTAATGCATACACCACTATTTATCGTTGATTTTTGAAGGGCCCATGAATGTGTATGAAACTTATACCCATTAATAAAGTACATAGGCCAAGTTCTAACTTTTCTCTTCGGGCCCCAAGCAATGTCATGTAAAAATGGATCCACAATGTTGTTGTTATGATTTTGAACCTACGTAACAAGGATCAATGAGTATTATAGTAGATAATGCCTGTTTGATGATACCAAATTGAAAGCAATCATACTTACATGATTTTTAAACCATGAGGGAAATCGTTCATTGATCTGGGATTCAATCTCATTTTCTGTGATTTGACAATTATCTTCCTTCAATGTTTGTACAAATAACCTACATGACAAATAATGTGTCTGCAATGCATATATTTGACATAAGGTTTGATCACAACCAAAGATCACTTACATCATATAAGGTTGCACCTCATCACAATTCATTAAAACATATCTTTTGGCAGCTTCTACTTTCTCATAATTCAAGAAACGAGCTTTACATTCCCCAGAAGGTCTTCCCAAATAGTTAAATATGGAAATTACTGGAAAATTTGATTCTCCACCATCATCATTTCGTAGAGGTCTTGTTATTCTTGGTGGCATGCTCGGCTCAAAGTAGTGTGAGCAAAACATAACGGTCTCCCCAACTATATAAGCTTCATATATAGACGCTTCAACTCGAGCTTTGTTCTTGACCTTTTGTTTCAAGGTATAAAGGAATCTACAAAAATGGATATGTTGTAAAAGCTAACATTGACTATTGTATTTATTACATACAAAGAAACCAACAAAAAGAAATTTCATTACCTTTCAAATGGATACATCCATTGATACTGAACCGGTCCACCAACCTTAGCTTCATAAGCAAGGTGGACAGGCAAATGCTCCATTGAGTCAAAAAAACCAGGAGGAAAGACCTTCTCCAATTTACATAATGTTACAATAATATTTTACTCTAATATCTCAAGTTGATCTACCATCAAAGTGGTAGAACAAAGTTGTTTAAAGAATTGACTAAGCTCCGCTATAGGATTAAATACATCATCTGGCAAAGTAGTAAAGGCAATGGGAACCAAGCGTTCCATGAACATATGACAATCATGACTCTTCATTCCATATAATTTTGCTTCCTTCATATCAACACATCGAGCTAGATTAGATGCATACCCATCGGGGAGCTTCAACTTCTTTATCTATTGAACAATCGCTTGCCTTTGTTCTAAATTCAAAGTATATTTTGCAATTGGTTTCATCATTTTTCCTCCTCTATCAACAAGTTCATTTTCCTTTTGTCGACAATATTCTTGCAAGTCCATTCGAGCTTTTGTATTATCTTTTGTTTTTCCTTTTGTGTCCATGACAGTGTGAAACAAATTCTTAAAAACATTCTTTTCAATGTACATAATATCAAGATTATGTCGAATGATATTGCTTTTCCAATATGGTAATTCCCAAAATATGCTTTGTTTGGTCTGATGATGAATGTCATTATAGCCTTCAGTTGGTATAGTTGTTCCATATTCGGTGACTTTTGGCAAATTTTGTACTCTATGCCAAACTTCCTCTCCACTTAATAGAGAAGGAGGCATTGATTTATCAACTCTATTCTTGTAAAATGAGTTTTTGTTTCTCCTTAATCGATGATCAATAGGAAGGAATTGACGATGACAATTAAAGAAAGATGTTTTCCTCCCATACTTTAATTGGAATGCTTTTAAGTTCTCCATACATATAGGACATGATAATCTCCCCATTGTCATCCAACCAGACAACATGCCATATGCAGGAAAGTCATTAATTGTCCATAATAATGCAGCACGCATGTGAAAGTTTTTTCTCAATGAGGCATCATACGTTAGCACACCGTCATCACATAACAATTTTAATTCATCTATCAATGGTTGTAAATACACATATATTTTTCCTTTGGGATTATTAGGACCAAGGATAATTAAAGTCAAAAACATATATTATTGTGTCATACACAGCTCGGGTGACATATTATATGGGGTAATGATTACAGGCTAACAAGAATATTGTCTCCCTGATTGCCCAAACAGTGTAAATCCATCAGCACATAACCCAAGCCTCACATTTCGTGGATCATGAGCAAAGTCAAGATATGTACTATTAAAAACTTTCCATGCTTGGCTGTCAGAGGGGTGAGAAAGGACATTGGTGCCTCTACGATTCGTATAGTGCCATGTCATTTCCTTTGCTGTTTTCTCAAAGGCATACAATCGCTGCAATCTGGAATCAAAGGTAAGAACCACAACTGTTTCCTTGCAACTTTCTTTTTCCTTCCATGACACCTTCTTGAGAAATATCTTTCCTCACCACAAAACTTACATTGTGTTGCACTATCATCAGCTTTATAGTACAACATACACCCATTCACACAACAATCGATCTTTCTATAATCAAGACCTAGCTTTGACACCAACTTTTTTGTTTGGTACAAGTCTGTAGGCATACAAGTATCTTTAGGCTGTGTCCTCCTCATGAGTTGGGAAATTAAATTGTATCCTTGTTGTGACATGTTAGTTGTTGCCTTAATGCTTAATAATTGCAAAGTTGCTGAAAGTTTAGACTCTTCGCAGCCTTCCCACAATGGTTGTTGTGCAGCATGTAACATGTCATAAAATGCTCTTGCATTCGGATTTGGCATCTCTTCAATACCTTCATTATAATTATCCCTAAAACTTGGCCCAGCTACATCCATCACTAGAGTCTCATATTGATTTAGTTGGTTATTGATTGGCTCATGTGAGGCATGTATGGCACTTGGTATTGAAGACAAAGGAGAATGATATTGTATTTCTACTTCACCATGACTATTCCATATATAATACTTTGGCATGAATCCAAATTTATAGATGTGTGTCTTCACCTCATCAACAGTTAGATATGGCCTACATTTACATTTGACACACGGACACCTAAGCTTCCCTGATGTTTGAGAATAAGGTGCCCTTAAAGCATAGGTAAGAAACTCCTCAACACCTCGTTGGAAATCTTGCGTATACCATTTAGTGCTCGGATCTACTCTATTATACATCCATTTTCGATTTTGTGGGACTTCCATTAAGTAAATGAGTGTTTCTAGCAATATAAAATCAAAATGTAGCAACTTTTCAACACCCCCAAATCTTTATAATTTAAGTGCGTAAATTTTTTTTGGTAAAATTATGTGCTCTAGCAACAACTAACCCTATATTCATTCATGAAGGTACCCCTAACAGATTGAAAACCCTAACAATGGGTCTTCCATCTTGCATTAGCATTACTAAAGTTCTTGTCTATTTATAAATACACATAAAGAGGGAAAAGACAAGCATTAGCAATAAAATTTTGATTTTGTATCTATTTTGAAGTCACATTATTGATGTTATAGTCTCATAATTAGATAGGGTCCCAATAACTCTCAAGTGTACATATATGTTAATTATTACACATGCTGAATAATAGTCTTAATGTTCAAGTTTCATTAACTTTGCTGGCTCATATATTAAAACTCATTCAAACCACCTTTATTTCTGTTATTAAGACATGCTTTCGTAACATTATATGAATCCTAATAGACAATCTCTAGTATTATATATCATAAGAGTAAATGAATTAATTTAATTGCAATCTTTGATTGGAGGTTCAAGGCTAACCGTTAATTCATTCCAAAAAAGACTTAGAAACATCATTTAGGAAAAATATAGTTCAATGGGTGATTTAAAAATGAAAACTTTGAATAGACACAAGAACCCATACACCTTGAGCTATGTTATGACAGTATTTGTCAGGTTGGTCACCAATATGTTGAAACTTTATCATCTTAAAAGATCAAAGATCACAAATATGTAGTGGATGTCTATGTTCATTTCCTTGCAGGGAGAAAATAAAACCAAAAAATAGTTGTTTGCAAAAAGGAACAAAATATAGGAAATAAAATAAAATGCAAATCTTGATGGTAGGTGGTGGTGGTTTGAGTTCTTCATATATAGCAAAGTAACCAGATATAGAGGTAAAACAAATCAGTAGACCCTTACTCTTGGATAGTTAACTTAAATATTGCAACATGAACCACGTCTGTGGTATTTCTGGTAAATTTGACGTCATACCCTTCTCTGTTCGTGAGGAGGAATTAAGAAAGAGCTTCCAACTGCAAGGAAAAAGTTCAGTTATTATATTTTTTTCACTTCCTTCACTGTTTATTTATGTATTGTTTGTTTGATACAATGTTAGCTTAATGATATCAGTTTAATGTTAAGATTGGTTACAGGTTGCTGATAGACTCACCAAGAGAAAAAAGCTCAGTCCAGAATGTTCGCATAGTTCTCAGAGTTGTGGCACATGCTGCTGTACTCTGCAAAACAAGATAGGGATGGCTGTCAGATATTAACTGTTCAAAGTCTTCTCATTTTCCTTTGCGGGCAGAAATTGTGTATAAGATCTTTGATCATTGGGTTTTATTTTGTCGCCTTCATGACCATCCTTTTCGAGAATGGCACTAAGCCACTAATAATTTTGTAAGAAAAAAGCTTTTAGAGGTTTTCCATAAGGAAAGGTTATTTCTAGCTTCTATACATAGCATATTATCCTATGTGCAAGATTAATTTACTTTTTATGCAAATACAAAAAGCACACTGGCAAATAAATCTTAAGCTTTTGCATTAAAGTGCAATCGCTTAGTAAAATGCTATTCTAAAATAAAATTTTTGGAAAAAAAATCTGAAATTATAAGGTTAAAAAAAATAGAGCTTGCACCAATTTATATATATATATATATATATAATGATATATGAGATTGGAAAAGAGATAGCAATTATATTGAGTCAAAATGTAATCCTAAATATTTTTGTTTTTTAATAACTATTTTTGTATAGTTCAAATGGTTAATTAACTTGTCACAATGCTATTATTTTTTTGAGTGAAACAATGCTACTATATTAACTCGTTAATAAGATCTGACTCTAAGGATTAAAGTATAAGCCAATTTCAATATCATCATCTATAGATGAAGTGCTTTGTGTTGTGTTGATGTTTCTAGGGATAATATAAATTACAATAAGTTAGTGTTATTAATTACACTAATTAAAGCACGGGATAGTATTTTCTAGTTATATATCATAAGAGTAAATGAATTAATTTACTTGCAATCTTTGATTGAAGGTTCAAGGCTAACAGTTTAGAAGTAGACACAGATAAAGCAGAAATACATTCAAAGCACCGAAATTTATTTAAGTCAAACTGAAAATTTATATTGTTTTTAGAGATAAACATGCAACCGATTTTAAGAAGAATCAAATTCAGAAGGAGCAACCGCTAGAGGATTACAATGGTTTAATGGAGGAAGTAAGAGAGCTTATAGGAAGAGAATGGCAACTCAGGTTCAAAGTAATATACAAAGAAGCTAATGCGTGTGCTGACAAGATGGCGCATCAAGCTTTCCTTTAACCTGAAAGGAAAATAACTTGGGT